ACACACACACACACAAAGAAGTAACTATGGGCAATTATGGGCATGTTAATTTGCTTACCTAATCATTTCACTATGTATTTCTGTGTTAAAATATCACATTGTACTCCCTATGTTTATGTAAAATAAGATGTTGATTCTTCTTTATTATGTGCTGGGTATGTTCATAAATTCTGGGGTACAAATGTGGGACATGTTCTTGTCCTTAAATAGTTCCTAAGAAGGTAATAAACAACCATAATATAGAATGATTCATATAATGATTGAAGTATTTTCCTATCTCTAAGTTAGCTGTTTAGAATTACTTTCCTCCTTATATAATACAATGTCTTGCAATTTTCAAAGTCCACATAAAATAGCATCTTTATTATGATGTTTTTTGTTGTCTCACCTGCTGATTATCTTTCCTTCTTTTGATGTCCTATATAATTTTGAATAAGTTATTTGGAAATTAATCACTTGCTAGTCTGTCATCTCTTCTATTTTGAAATCTAACAGTAATTTTATGTTTTATATTTTGTCTTATATTTTCATTTAGGTTGTGCACATCCTGAGGTTAGTGACTAGACCTTAAACTTATTGATGGAATTCAGGCCTTAGTAGTATACTACTATTACGTATTCAAACAGATTACAAATGATAAGTAATATCATTTCTATCATGATTTAAAACCAATAGTGATATAAAATAGTTTAAAATATTTTATGCACTCAAATCATTATACAAAATTTTTAACGTATGCATTTTCAACCTTCTATTCCCCTTGAAACCTATCCTTGCAATTCCTAAATCTCATCTATCTTTAGCAGTTCCCAGAAAAATTGTTGTTTAAAATATAATTCTGTGTTGTCTCCTGTGAGAAAAAATATGTTCTTCAAAATAATTTCACTACAGTACATATTCTGACTCAGGAGATGTTGATTTTTGTCAGTTTGGTCTCAAGGCAAACTTTGAATGTTAATGTAAGGAAACAAAATACAATGCTAATGATAACTGAAAATTCCATTAGATAATATTCTATGTGCTGAATAACTAACTAATTCCAGATTTTAATATAATAACGTTTTTATGGAGTAGATATGTGGTGTCTCCCAAAAGCTCAAGTATGAGACAATGCAAGAATTTTCAGAGGTGAAATAGATTATGAGAGTCGTAACCTAATCAATGGATTAATCCTCTGAAATGGATTAACTGGGTGCCAACTGTGGCCAGGTAAGGTGTGGATGGAGGAAGTGGGTGCCGAGATGTGCCTTTGGGGCTTATGTTTTTAATCCCTGCGGAGCGGAGCTCTTTCTGGGCTTCCTGGTTGCCATGCCCTGAGCTGTTTTCCTTTGCCACACGTTTCTGCCATCATGTTCTCCCTCACCTTGGACCCAGAACTGTGGAAATGGCCATCTATGAACGGAGACCTCTGGAACTGTGAGTCCCAGTAAAATAAACGCTTCCTTCTCTACGTGGCTGTTGTCAGATCTTTTGGTTACAGTGACTCAAAACCCGACTAAAACAAAATGTTAAAAAAAAAAAAAGTAAGTTTCTATGGTGATGGTATAGTTTCCGATGGGTTTATAACAAATCACCTCAGACTTAGTGGCTTGGGACAATGCAAATTTGTGTGTTCTTATAGTTGTGTAGACCGGAAGCCCAACATGAGTTTCCCTGCGCTAGAATCAAGGCGTCTGAAGGCTAGCTCCAGGAGACACTGGAGGAGGGGTGGTTCTCTCTTTTTTGCATTCTTTGACTTCCTTCCTCCTCCATCTTCCAAACCAGAACAATTGGGGGCCAAGTCTTTCTCCCACTGCCTTCTCTTTGTTTTTTTCTCTCCCATCATCATTTATCTGACCACAGCCAAAAAAATGTATTCAATTTGATGGACCCTGCAATTATATTGGGACTGTATTGGGCCAACTCAGACAGTCCAGGATACTCTTCCCATTTCAAGGTCCTTAACTTAATCACATCTACAAAATCCATTTTTCCCACACTCGGGGATGTATTCATAGATTCCAGGGATTAGGAGACAGGCATCTCTGAGGAGCCAATATTCTGTTTCTATAGTGATCAACTTTATACATCCGCAACAGTTCATTTCCGACTGAATGTTTTTCAGTATCATTGGTAACAAGTCTAGATTTTCACCAATTATGCATTCTTAGAACTTGAGGAGTCCATAGGAGCCATCTGTGGGAGTCAGCACTCCCTCAGTGGTCCTTTCTTCTGGGCAGTCATGGCCCTGCACCGTCCCCTTCCGGGTTGGACGAGGGTTGACTTTGTGATCCATAGAATATGGTGGAGGTGAGACTGTGTCTCTTCTGACGTTAGGTTATTGAAAACTCAGTGGCTTTTGCCTTGGACTCTCCCTTTAGGAAACACGAGATGCCATGGGATGGGGACCTTCCAGCCTCTTAGGAAGAGGCTCCTCTGAGGAGAAAGGCCTATATCCATAACTGGCACCGTTGCCAGTGGTGGGGGTCAGCTACCCTGCCTGTAATCCTCCAGTCCTGGTCAAGCCTTCACTTGACTTGATCCTGGCTGGCTGACAGACCGCAATTGCATCAGAGACTCTGAGCCTGAATCTCCAAGCTTAGCCTCTCCCAGATTCCTGACCTGTGGAAACTCTAAGAGATGATAAACATGCATCATCTTTTAAGCCACAATTCAGGGAAATTTGTAACAAAGCAATAGATAACTAACACATCATCTAATCCACCATTTCCAACACGTGTGCTGAGAAGCACCAATTCAGTTAGATGCTCTCTGAAACAATATTCTTTGTTCTAATAACTTTAAGAAACAGTCTATACTCTAGATTTATTCCTGGATGATTAAAATATACATTTGTGGGAAATAAATTAACTCCCTGTGCCACCTATTTTCAAGTTCACCTATGTTCTTTAAATATGCCAATTAAATTTTATCTTACAGCATGTTGTGTGCAGAGGCCTCATAGCATCAGGGAATAACATCTATTTCCTATTGACACACTTTTCCTGTCCTCCTATTATACCATTAGACTGTTTATAATAGAAATTTTAATACAAGTAAAAAGATGTGTTTAAGAGCAAAATACCTTATTCTGTCTTCAGTTGCTTGCGATTTAAGATGAATAAAGTACTTGAGGTTTTGGTGAAAAAATATATAATATATGAGGATCCTAGGACTCTGGTGAGGAAAACAGTAGTTCCGTCTTCACAGTTTCCCCTCCTGTTTTTTAGAGGTTGCTCTTTGATGTTCTTCTAGCCTTGTTCGCCCCACAGGGTAGGGATTCTACAGGGACTAAGGGCACTTTCCCACCTAGACCTGTGCCCCTCTTCTAGACTCTATTCGGGGAACAGTGGTCTAAGAGCTCCTTGTTCACCAGGCCCTGACCCTGTTCCCCATGGTCTGGAAAGCATCTCCCATGGCCCCACTCTCCTAAGACCATGCCATAGTATCCAACAGTGGGTCCAAGAGATGGCCAGGGGATGGTAGCTGTTCTCTACGGTACGTAGTCGAATCTCCTGGCCCCTCCCAGTGTAAATTACAGCTGGGGTTGGAAAGGGAAGATGAATATCTTGAAGGTTAGGGGTTAGATCTCAATTTTCAGGCACAAAACTCTAAGTCTGCATTTAATAAATTAGAATTGCACCTGCCAAGTTGTTATGAAAATATATTTGTCAAGCTAAGTGGACAAGGCATATTTTATTTAGTGGTTTTATAAAATGGTATTTGTAACTTTTAAATATTTACACCCATGCTATGTGATATTAGTACTGTTATTCCTGCCCGGTAGCTTTACTGATGGACTGGCTGAGTGTGCTCTGTGTGTATACCCACATGGTGGAAGAGGTATGTAGTGAGTCCAGGAGTGGAGCGGGAGGGCATGTAATACACACCAACTTTCCAACATTCCTCTTGGCCTTGGAGCAAGGTATGGAGTTGGTTCTCACGTACCTGAACCATTAGATATAGTTGGTATTTCTGAGGTAGTTTCTAGAAGGACTTGAAAATAGTGACACCCTGTAGGTGATATTTTCATTGGCCGTTAAACTCCTGGATTGGAATTCTCAGTCCAACTGGATTCTGAGGAGCCTATATATTAATGCATTTCAATTCTTAACAGTCTCCTTTCCTCTCAGTTTATAAAGTGGGTACTAGGACCAGAAATACCAGAATTACCTGGGACCTTGTTAGAAAATGAAATCTGGGTAGCCCTCCATACCACAGACCTATTACAGACCCCCCCGGGGAGGTCTACCTATTAATCTAAGTCCTCCAGGTGATGCAGGGCAGCTGCAGCTAAGGCTTGGGAACCACCCTTGTTGTCTGTCTCTACTTCCTGATGGAGCCAATCAGACAAATATGGCTTAAAGTTTTCTTATTTCTGGCCACATTGACTCAATAGACACCATACAAACACCATTAAGAAAAACTATGGCATGACTTTATAAGTGGAACAAAGAGAGCTTCCTTTAAGTTCTTTCTAGAAGAAATGCGCATGGTATTTTAGATGTCACGGTCATTGCAAAATCTTACCTATTTAGTGTCTTTAGTTAATGCTTGCTCTCTTGAATTTCTTTGCTTTTATATTTAACTTTGGTTCCAAGTTGTAGTTTTTATATTGTTGTTTTTCAGGATCTAACCCCCCCAAAGGGTGCTTCATCAAAGACTGAAATGTCATAAAGTAAAAATAAATAAAGTTAATGCTGAACCTGATTTGGAATAGAAAAAGAGAAAACACAGTTCTTTCTCCACATGCAATTTAGCATCTGAAAGAAAACAAATCTGTTGCTTGGTTTCCCTTATTTTTTTTTTCTCCTACAGTTTTATTAAATTTTCTGATCGCAATAGCAATGCAAATCCACTCTGATATTCACTGTGAAATGAATGATTCTAAAAAGCTGTTTTTATCTAGTGACAGGAGAAGTAGAAAATCAATTGTATTGATTTCTGAACTTTCAAGTAGGGTTAGTATTTATTAATTTACTTATTGATGTTTAATATCGTGTTGCTTTATATCTACTTAGAAATAAAGTGAATTCATATATATGGAAAAATCAAGAGAGGGTCGCCATGGTTTGGGTAAGTACCCTCCCGAAAGACCTGTGTGTTAGGAGGCTTGGTCTCTAGCTTATGGGATTATTGGGAGGTGGTAGAACTTTTAAGAGGTAGGAACTAGTGGGAGCATGTTAGGTTATCAGAGTGAGCCTTCTGAGGAGAAATTGGGACCCTGACCTCTTCTTCTGCTTCTTTTGCTTTCCTTTTACTTATAGGTGAGAGTCCTCCTCTACCATGTGTTCCACCACAGACCTAAAGCAAAAGGACCAAGCATCCATGGACTGAAACCTCTGAATCCGTGAGCCAAAAGAAGCCTTTTCTCTTTCTAAATTGATTATCTCAGGTATTTTGTCACAGTAATGGAAAACTGACACATGGATTTAATATATAACTCTATGTTGGATATGTATTCTAGTTGTCATAGGGACAGCTCTTACATTTTGGTCATTGGTTACTTTCCTGATCTTATTTACCAATAGTCTTAATATGGATGTTGCAGCCAGTGACATTGCTTATTCAGGTGAATGTGAAATGAATAGATCCTGATCTATGGCAACCTCTTAAACCTACCTATGGGTATCTCTAGGCTGTGAAACCACTTCCATCATTAACTGTTAGTGCTTTTGTTCTAAAAGGCACTTTTGATGAGTAGAGTTCAACAGAGGGTGGCTTGTGCTCATTGACTTTTACTTTATAATTATTTTTACTTGTCATTTATAATTATCTTAGTCATGGTTTGGGTCTAGGTTTAGTGTCTACAAATTTACTTTAGGCTTTTCAACAGCAAGCTTCCTTATTTCACTTGCATTTCTACTACGACCTAATATTTTTATATTCTTACTGGAAATTGAAAAAAAAATTAAATGAACTTTGAAGGTTACTTGAGTCATATCCAATTGTGTACCAACGTTATGAAGGCATACGGAACATATATGGTAAAAAGAGAGTTCTTTTAGAATAGCTCACTTAATTTCATAGCTGTGCTTTAACATGTAACTCCCGAGTTCTGTCAGAGGATTTCTATGATTCATACAAAAATTCTTAAACTCCAATTTTTATGTTAAAAATAGATAATTTTGTATCAGTTCTTCTCAGTCAAAGGAAGTAGCAAGTAATTTGTTCTTTCACTTTTTTTACAGAGAAAAAAAGATACAGAAAACATAAAGCTTCAGGTTGAGAAAAATTTAAGGATGTATAGTGTGATAATCAGTGAGAATTTCCTGGGTTTTGTGCTTACAAAATAAATTTCAAGTTTCAATTTTTATTTACTTAAATGGTTTATGTACATTTAAATATTGAAGTATTTCTTAAGTATTTATAATCAAAATAAATGTTTGAAATTAGAAAACAAGAAGAGATGATTTTCTCATCAGCAGTAGAGTGCTTGCCTAACATATGTGAGGTTCTGGGTTCTGTTTCCAGTACCACAAAAAAAAAAAAAAAAGAAAGAAAGAAAGAAAGAAAAAAAATATTTCTATTTTTTTTTTTCAATTTGCTGTAATTAAAAATTACTTTCGCTGGGTATGGTGGTACACATCTGTTATCCCAGAAGCTTAGGAGGCTGAGATAGGAGGATCCCTAGTTCAAAGCCAACCTCAGCAATAGAAAAGCACTAAGCAACTCAGTGAGTCCCTGTTTCTAAATAAAATATAAAATAAGGCTGGGTTTTGTGGCTCAGTGGTTGAGTGCCCCTGAGTTCAATCCCCAGTTACCCCTCCCCCACCCCCAAAAAAAGACTTCTCAACTTGATTCTATTTAAGGAAAGTGAATTTCTTGATTCATGTTGTATGACATTGTATATAATATTGTTTAGTAGCCTGCACTACGTTTGCCTCTTTAAGAAATGACCATAGGGGAAAAAAAAGACAACATAACTTCATTCATCTTTCATTTTAGACTAGTAATTGTTTAAAACCTGAATAAATGAGAATATGACCAACTAAACTCTGACTACACTCAGACAGTGTTCTACTCACTCAACACAATACATTGAAAAATCTGTATCTTTCATTTCAGTCCAAATGCATTTCCAGTATGCAACACATATTTATTATCTGCTTCCCATGTGCAAAGTATCTTTCTAGAAACTCTGATTACAAGCATGAATTTAAAAAAAAAAAACAACAAAATTTCCTGCCCCCCAAAGAGCTTGTGGTCTAGTAGAGAGAAAAAAAAACAAAATATACACAGACAATAAATATAAATTTATTTATAGGCCTTTTACACTGAGAGTCTGATGCTATAAACAACTAAGTGTCACATGGGTGCAGTGGGCTAAGCTTTTTTAAAATTCTAAGTTCATGCTTGGGCGTGAAATTTAATTAATGTGTCAGGCACAATGGTAATAGAACCTGGTCAGATGAAGAAGTGTTAGCCACACTTCCACTGAGAGATACAGGTCTAATGAAGTTACTCCTTGCCAGATACAAAATAATTAGTTAACCTACATTGGGAAGGTCAGGTATTTTGAAATACCCCATAAATATAGAGAATATAGCTATAATTATAAAATAATACTGTAATTTTGCACCTACAAGGTTAATTTTGTATTACTAAAGTAAATTGAGACCTTGTAAGTCTCAACCGTGTATGATTTAAAGTGCAATCATTGAGCAATATTTTTAGCTTGGTCTTCGCTAATCCTCAGGAGATGCTGGAGAAGGAATGTTGAGTAGAGGTTGATCTACTATCAGGACAGCTGAAGGTAGCCTCCAGGGTGCAAGGACCATGAATGTGTTCTCAAAGCAAAATGAAGAGCTGCAATTTGTATATCGCAACAACACCAGACACCTACAGGAGATGAATCCTCACTTCTCCTTCTGGGATAGGCCTGTCGTGTGCAGTTTTATTACATTTTACAGGTGGGATAAATAACTAGCTTCAGGTTGGTTGCAGAGTAGGAAATAAAACAGAGCTCTTTTTATTTCTTGTAATTTAGCTACTGCTTTCCCTAAACAAGTCAAGATATACTCTCTTAACAAGAGTCTCCAAGTTAGGGGTAGACTGTGTCTTCCATATCATATAACATTGGTCACACAGTAGGTGCATGTAGTATTTTTTTTATTCTTCTTGATTTGGGTTTTATAAAATTAGCTGGTACTGAATTAGAAAGATAAAACATCAGAGGAGTGTTAATTCATGAGTATCCTCTGACTACTGGCACATTGGACACCAACTTTGGCTTTGATGGGCCTGTGTGTATCTTTCTAACATTTTCTCACTTGGAACAACAAAGGTACTATTTTGTGACTTTTATAAATGAGAGTTGCTGTAGAATAAGGAAGAATTCGTTTCAATTCTTCTGAGAAACTTACAATGTAGATATATGTTATTACGAGCATGAATAATAACAATTTATTATCTCGGCCAGAATACCAGTGCAAAACTCATTTGCATAGGCAAACATTTGTTAGTGTGTGGAGGTTTCAAACTCAGCCTCCATTCAGAGGTAATAGATACCTAAATGGATTTTTCTTTTTCATGAATGCACTTCAAGGTTTAGAAGCAGATGAATTGTTATAAATATCAGAAAATAATAACAAATTTTTAAAAATCACTAGAGCCTGCTAAATTTATAGTGTGAATGGAAGTAGAAAATCACAATCCTTTGAAACATCGAATTTGATTCTTTAAATCTATTTATTTTTTTTTCATTCAAGTTAGAAGCTCCACCACAAATTCCTCAGACTTGCTGGAGTTGGGTTTTTACTGAACTTAAGATGCTTTGTTTAGAATGTGGTTTTTATGTTTTTTTTTTCTCTTTCTCTCAGGGAATAGGAAGTTGTCTGTCCTTTTGTAGCAAGAGAGACCATGAACCAACCATAAGATGGAAATAGCATCAGTAAATCTTGTAGCTGGGAGATCCTCGTGATGCCTTTCTAATGTCTATTAATAAACGAGGAGTTTCTGTGTTGTGAGAACGAGCTGTACCTGAAGGGAGTAACGTGTTCTCGAAAGGCATTGACTCTCATATATGTGAAGAGCACATATTCTTATTCAGAGCTGTTTCAGCAGGTAACTTTAGGTACAAGTTACAGGAGAGTAAATACTAATACTGCATAAGGGACGATTTCTCGTAGTGACCTGAAACAGAAAGTACTCATACCTGGGTGGAAGGATCTAGGAAGGAATCCTGAACTCTGCAAGGGACTTGAACCCCATGAACTCCAAGGGCCTCTCAATCGCAAGTTTTGGCAGGTCCCTTGGAATCACCATCCTTATTGCCAAACACTGAAAACAAAACCTACCCAGTTCTCAGATGGATGTCCCACTCCAATTTCAACAAAACAACTCTAAATATAAAAATGTCCAAGTTTCCCACCCTTCCTAAAATCTCTGACAACTCTCTTGCCACTGAAATGCATAGATTCTCATTTCTCAACAACATTCCCAATTATTGTTCCATTTATTCTCATTCTCTGTCAACTAGGTAGGCCTTCAGCATCTTGTACTTGTAGTCACAACTCTCTTGCCACTGTTGGCCCATCCAACTTTTAACCTATCATTTCCTTAAAACACCACTTTTATTATGGCTTTCTCGTTAAGGGTTTATTCCTCCTTTATCCCTATTAATGTATTCAGATTCAAAATCTTTCTTCATGGTCCCCCTTAAACAAGCTGTAGGTACCAGTACAGCTCAACCCTTCACCTTCTGTGTTCTTCCAAGTATATTTCTTAGACTTAACTTATCCCACAGTGACCTCCCTTTTATTCTGAAATTCACTTAAAACCCATCATTATGATCTATGAGCTAAAGGGTCTCCACTTTTAAAGCGAGTAGTCCCCTGGATTGGTTTACGTGCCTATATATGAAAGTTATGAATGTGAAAATATTAACTTAGTTTCAGAGCTGCGGTTTTCTTTCCTTTTATATTTCATTTTTCCACAGAACCTGAAGCAATACATGCTGTGGACATCTACTGAATACACGTGAAATTCCTGTCGAACGAGGGAATCAAAAATCGTACACACTGGCTGGCAAATGGAGGAGAGGCTGAAGTGGTTTCTTAGGGAAAGACACTGGAGACACCACTGCAGGTCCAAGTGCCTATGCTGATTCTCTTGGAGGTGGAAACAGGGTGGGGGGGGTGTAGCAAAGGAGTCGGCTGCTGATGTAAAGCTTGTCTTTTCTCCTGGTCTCTTTTGATGAGCTGTGCGCCATGGGCTATTAGGCCCCCAAATATTTTGGGTTAGATACAATAGCTCAGTGCACATAATTCCCATTTGGCAGAGAGGGCTTTAGGCTTTATTACGTCTGAAATAGTACGGAGCACATCACTTTGACTTTGATTTTTTTACAATGTATTCAAGATGAACAGAGATTCCAGTGAATTTGATTCATATCGCCAGTTCATTTATTAGTGGGCATGATGATGAAACCATAAATCTGTCGCCCAGGTGGCACTAATGGACTCCTTCCTGAGCTCCCTCAGCAATGAGGGTGAGACTCAAGTGGAATGGACCCTGCTCCTTTACCTCAGGAAGTGCACGGCTGCCTGGGTCGTGGGAGATGGTGTCCTTGTTGGTGACTGATGCATCCTTGGAAGGAGAACTCCCCTGCCCTGCAGTTCCCAGCATTTTTATTTTACTCTCACCCACATCTCAGTCTTACTTTCCTATAGTTACTGAGTGTCTCCGGTAGCATCTTCTTCTAGCATCAATAGAGAAATAGAAATAGCAAATAGAATTATGATTGATACAGAGATCTTTCAATTTTTAATATATTAGCCTTAAAAGAATCTATCGCAGAAATCCTGAGCCTGGATAGGAGTGCCTATGTGACATTAAATGATCAGCAGTCACCAACACAAGGCTACAACATCAGCATCATGGGTCAGGTGGTGGAGGTGGACATTAATGATTTTAGAAGAGGTTATTTATTATGGATGAAGTAAATGCCCTGGAGCAGACGTGTATTTCGCTAGGAGGGTGCATAACAGGGGGAGCTGATAAGTCTGGGAGGGATGAGGGTATGGGAGAGGAGTAAAAGGTTCTCTGAGGAAGTGACATCGCAGCTGACTGGGGAAGTGTGAGCAGAAGAAAGGAGTTAGTGAGGTAAGGACAGGTGGGTTCCTAATGGGGATGGGGCTCTCAAGCAAAGAAAACCACATATTTATAAGTAGGAAGTCACTTAGCTCTTCAGAGAAATGACACGGGGATCAGGAGCCTTGAATATGGCAAGAAAGAAAAGGAGGATTGTAAGACTGGGTGGAAACGTTGGTCATATCATGAAAGTTCTTGTCAGTAAAAATAAGGACTTTGGATTTTAAGAATAGTGAGAGGCTCTGCTTTTATGATGTGATATGTTTCAAAGATTACTCGGATTGGAAAGCGGGAAGAGTGGAAACAGGAGGCCAGTTAGGAAGCATTAATAATTCTTCTAGAGAGAGGGATGATGGTACTTGAGCCAGAACTATGATGGAGAAAAGAGGACAGATTTGAGACAGACGTGGAGGTCAAACATGGCGGCTGTTTTCTAGTAGAGTTGTCCGTCAAGGACAAGTGGGGGAATGGCTCTGTCATTTCCTGAAAGGGAAATGGCAGAAGAGAAGCAAGTGAGATTGAGTTCCAGTTGCTTGCGGTGGATGTGAGAGGAAGGTGCTGTGGATTGCACAGAGAGCCCCAGGGGACAGGGAAGTGAGGCTGGCCACCTTTGTTCTAGTTTCTATAGTGGGGATCCGCTGAGCATGTCTTTGCATGCCCCAAACACACAGACCAACAAAAATAAAAATTTCCCGTACACAAATGTGGCTTCAGAAACACTGTGAACAGTGTGACTCCACGAGGGTTTGTGAGGGCCAGCAAGGTTGGAAGTCACATACCCAAATGTCTCACCTTGTGCCTTTTAAGGGTTTTACTCTTTCACCAAGACTCTTCTCAGTGGAAGCTGCCTCAGTTCCCACCTTTCCTTCCACAAGCCTACCTCCACCTGACCTTGTCCCCACCCCATCTTCCACAACAAATTACCCGTGGTCACCCCTAGGGCCTCCATTCAGTTCTTTCAGCCAAATAAAGATCTATCTTGGAAGCTACCTGCCAAAGGATGATGGGGGTGAGAAGGACAGGGGGATCATGAATAATAACTATTTTTTGTGCAAACGAACGTGTTAGCCACATGCGTATGGTATTCCCATCTGTAAGAGTGGAACCTCAGTGCAGAAAAACTCAGTACTGGAGGAAGAGGCATTATAGGAGCTAATGTCTGCAGTGGACGAGAGAAGAAGGTGCTGTGGATTGCACAGAGAGCCCCAGGGGACAGGGAAGTGAGCCTGTAACTTGAGAGGCAGGAGGAAAACCCAGAGGCTGGAGAACCCAGAAACCAAGTGTCCAGAGGCTTAAGAGAATCTATTGTCAACTTCTCAAATCTGTTGGAAGCTCATTTGCATATTCAAAAAATGTAAATGATCCCATTAAAAAAAAAGTCTGCTATCTATACTTTCAGCCAACGGAAAATTGGCAGTCCCTAACGTGTGTACCAAGCTTTGCCAAGAATTTCTTTTCTTCTTTTCTTCTTCTTCTCTTCTTTTTTTTTACTGGCAAAGAATTGTTTTAATTTTGACATAGTAAATATAGATTGTAAATAAGAACAAGGCAAACAATGCATCAGATGAGTAGGCAAAGTAATAATCACTAAATAGAACATGAATGACTAATAAACATAAGAAAAACCCTCAGCCACATGCTGTGAATTTCTTTTGCCTGAATGCAGAAACATCAGTGCTACTTTTTCTTTTTTCTCTTTGTGGAACAGGGATTGGTAATATGAGCAGAGAATCCTAGTTGCACATTTCCTAGCAATTCTGAGATGGAAGGTTGTTGACCTTCCAAAGTTTTAAAATTGAAAGGTGGCCCAACAGCAAAAAATAACTGCTTCAGATACAAATGGGTAACTTCGGTAGGTCTGCACGGGGTGGCACAAGAATCCATGCCATGAGAGGAAACACGGGATTCTCAACAGAAGAAATGCTTTTGAGTCGAGACAAAGCAAGCTGAATATGACTCTTGCAAACATTTTCGGGCTTTGGGAAGGAAAATACAGACAATTAATTAAACCTTGTATTAAAATGAGCATTTACCATGCTGTTTTGCTTTGCTTCCTCTTAGTGAAGAATGCAATCTCCCTTCGTCACTCACCTGGGCCCTTCCCCTATAAACATTTTTCTGACTTCCTGCCCTCTGTTATCCAAGAGGAGAATGTTGATGAATGGAGTTATATCCTTTATCTCAGTATCTCTTCAACAGCACAGCAGATTGTGTCTTGCCTTCCCCATTCCCCTTCCAAATCTTATCATTGGGAATTTATGGCAGTTGCCTCTGAGGAGTGGTCTCTAGTGATGACAGGCACAGGCGTGGGGACATGCCCCTGGGAGTTATGCCCCGCGCCACAGTCTTGACTAACTTGGATCCAGCTTGAGGCAAAACTGAAAACCACGGAATATAACCCAGGCATGCATTCAAAAGGATGCACTTTCTCTTTGCTCCCCACAATAATTCCATCTGGGCAGCTAGCATTTGCTTTGCTACACCTGTGAGATTGGGAGATGATTAAACATTTTAATTCTTTCTCTGTTGGACGTTGAAATTCACAACCCATTCACCGGCGCTTCCCCTCAGCTTACTGCCCGTGTGCTTGGGACTCGGGATCAGAATAGTAATTTGTGGATTATGAGAGTCAGGCTGCTCAGGGTTGCTTTTCAGGCATTCCCCAGGGCTTTCTTAAAAAATCTTACTTGAGCTTTTCTAGACAGGGCCAAGGAAAGCAGTGAGACATTCTGCTGTTTGGGTGAAGCAAAGCGAGGAGGAAGGAAGGTGAGAAGAATGGCCGTGGACTGTCTCTTTGGCTGATTCTGTTTGCCCTTTTCAAAGAAAGGTGGTGTCAATCGAGCTTCCTTCTGCCAGTGAGATTCTGACAGTTGACCACACGCTGTGCATCCTGCTTTATCATGATAAAGAAACAGGTAGCTTTAAATGGACGCCTGTGACGATTTGTCAGGCATGTGGCAGGTGATCAGCCCCATTGAGAAAGGACCCTAATGTCATTGCCATGCTGAGTCTGTTCAAGGAATGTGAAATGTGGATTGTGGCACAGAGGCAGCTGACGGTAAATCAGATTTGATTTCCCCTCTGAGGGCGCAAAGTGAACCTTGTCGTTATCAGGAAGAGAAATGAAATCTTTAAATATTGCTCAATGTTTTGTCATCTCTGCCTGTCGGGGTGATTTAACATAAAATTTCCCCAAAGTAGGAAGTGCAGGTATTATTTCATTTCATTTCAAAGATAAACTTCACAGTTTTTCCCTATAAATTACTTGAAAAGCCCCCAATTTGCAATTGTGGAGGTAACTTAAGATCAATGGTGTTTTAAAGTAAAATATTATTAGTAAGAAATGTGCTTTGTGTTTTGTCCCTTGCCAATAGCCCGCAGTCCCCAAATGGGTTGATTTCCTAGTGTTTATGAGAAAATATCAGAAGGGCCATGAGAAGTTGCTTATAAATGCTTTGAGTTAACTGAAGAGTTTACTCACTGATGTTTTGACTGTGTATTTCTTCTATGACCTGTGTGTACCTATTTTTATGTTTTAAACTCCTGTTGCTTTTTATCTTTTCTTCCATTCTACTTAGTTAATGGTAATAAGACTTTGCAGACAGTTGCAAAATTTCTATTACCCTTAAGATCTAAAATGCCATTTCAAAGAAAAAAAATGCTTTTCTTTCTTCTTATTATTGGTATATGAATAATGCATCCCCACAACAGAGAAAAATGGAGATATTAAGCACAACAAACAACCCCTGTGACCCAGAGACAACCCATGTTAACATTCCTGAGCGTGTCTCTGTGGAGTTTATACACGAGTATCTTTTATTTAACATGGGATCATTCATTCTCAACTGCAAAGTGTTGGAGAATGAAGCTTTGAAAATCTTTGTTCTTTGGTCTGAATATTCAAATGCATTTATTTGCAAGCTCTATTCAATGTTTTATTGCAGAAGGAATACATGTCTTTTCTTCCTTTCCACTAAAGAAAGAATAAGAGGAATGGACTGACTGCCAAATATAATCTAAGCTATTCAGGTTAAGTCTGAAGAACACTTTCTTGATATTGTTATTAGTTACTGAAAATGCCTCATTGGTCTTTGATACTTCACCACTTTCAGCATAATGCCAGGCAACAGTTATCCTATTTGTTGGCTGTCTGGCAGACTTAAGTGACAGGTAGCAGTATGTTATTCCTAAATCCCTAATTAGTGATGCGCTAGGTTAGAGCAGACTAACCAACAACCTAGGACCCAAGATAGTGTCATAGCTGGAGAATGAAGTAATTATAGACAACAGAATAGTAAATTCTGAAAACGAGTAAAGCTGATGAATGCTTTATTTCTGCCCCATATTACTCCATCTCCATAAACTCTGTTTGGAAGGAAGCAGACATTGGAATTCTCATGGAAAGTTCAAGTTATGATTGACTGGGGATATTCCAGCGTTATCATTTTCCACTCATAGTAAACTAATGAGTTAAGTACTCTTATTATGTTATTATGACAGACTCAGTAAGAGTGAAGCTAGCATCTGCTGTGTATCAGGCATTTACTACATACAAGAATACAGGCAAAAATCCTAGCCTGCTAGAGCTTATGTTCTAGTATGGGAGATGGAAAACCAATGAAGTTAATATGCAAATCATACTGAATGAGGGCTGGGGGTATAGCTCAGTTGGTAGAGTGTTTGCCTCACATGCATGCACAAAACCCACAGTTCAATCCCAGCACCACAAATACACACACACATACGTATTATGTATATGTGTATATACATACACACACACACACACACACACACACACACACACACACATATATATATATATATATATATAGAGAGAGAGAGAGAATGTAAGAAGACGCAAAATAAAGAGAGAAGAAGGTAGATATTGGCTGACATGGATTCACAGGAAAGAATACTTTCTGTGGTTCATTAATTATTTTTTCAGGCAAACAATCAAGACTGAAGAAATGTCCTAGAAAACAAAGGATGGACGATCCTAACTAAGGAAATTAGAGAAGTTTATTTTTTGAAGAAATGAAAGCACTTTTACTTGGCCCCTGTTGAAAGGCAATCATCGGAGTCAGCTTTAGATTCTCCTTTACTTCTAGCATGTGTCAACAAGCTCATGGAGTACTCAAAACACCCGAAGACCAGCAGATGTTTGAGATGTATTTATTTTGTCAAAATGTCAACTTGAGTTATTTTTCATCTTGTGATTCCGTGGCCCCACCTTCTGCACTCTGCCCCACTCTCCCTCCATCTCAATCCTTCCTCAAGTTTTCCCTCCTAATGTAGCCAAGCTCAGAAGAAATTTCCTTTTGGAGAAAGTGGTTCATGTAGAGTGCATCGGTCTGTCAAGAGTTAATATAATTTTAAGAGAAAAGACATCATGGAAATATCAGGGTGAAGAAAAATATTGTTATAATCCTAAGCCAGAAGATGATCATTCCAGAGAAGCAGGATCAGTGGGATGGGCAGATAGATGACAGAGAAAGAGAGAGAGAGAGAGAAAGAGGTAGGTGATAGAAAGCAAGGTAGCTAGAACGGTGTTGGAGGGAGAGATGGAGGAAGACAGATTTATTACAAAGAATTGGCTCACCCAACTGTGGGATTGCAGACTTCTGGACTCCACCGAGCAGGCAATAAGGAGGTGCTCATGGGCGAGTTCCAGCACCTGGGCATGGGCAGGAGCTGCCCTCCAAAGAAGAGATTCTCATCTGGTGGAAATTCAGACTTGCTTTTAAATTTTTTTTTTCCAGCTGATTGAACAAGCCCTCTCAGATTATACAGAATAATTTAGTTCACTTCAAGTCCACTGATTATGGGCTTTAATTACATTTGCAGGTTCGCTTGAAAGGAACATTTAGAATAGTGCTCGATTGAATGAATGGGGGTTAGAGTCTAGCTAAATTGACACATCCAAAACAAAATTCACCTTACAAATGTGAGTTTTGAGAATCTTTGTTGGAATATGTATAGCAAGCTCCTGAAATATATAACTTTCCTTTTAGGGATTTTAACATTTAAAACAATTACGTTTTATGTCAATATGAAAATTATGTTTTTGTCTTTTCAGCTGCCTGCCTATTTCAGGAGCATAAGAAATTCATTTCCAAATGTAATGATAAATTAACCCATGTCTCTGCATATGTCTTTCAAACTCGTTTCATGTTAAAAATAAGGCAAAACAAAACCCAACTATCTGTTATGAATGTGCTGTGTTAGGTACTCACTGAAGAGCAAACTACTCCTTTCCTCATCCTTGCAAATAAACTCCTGTTGGTCTTTATTTATTTTATTGTATTTCTTTGATGGTGGTGGGGGTGGACAGGCATTGTCCCCAGCCCTGGCAGATAAGATCAGTCAAAACCAAGCATGAAGATTTTTTTTTGCTTGTATTTGGTACAGGGCTGGTCATATGATTCAGTTTTAGCCAAGGGGGTAAATATGGATATTAATGGAAGCTTTTCAGATGATTTACTGCCTTTATAAAAAATAGGCACCAAAGAATAAAGCCGTTTTTCTCCAGCCCTCTCCCTTCTTAAGAACACTGTGGAAAGTTTCTGTGATGCTTAAAGCTCTGCAGCTGATACACGGTCACGTATGCATGCACTGTTGGCACTTTGTAGATGGCAGAGCAGAAAGAAAGAGTGGTGTCCCATGGATACCGTCGAGCTACTGAACCTGCTGTACTTAACTGCAGACTTGAAAAATATGAGTCATATTATAGTGCCAGAAAATGAGGAAATGCTCAAAACAAACCCCCCTCACAATGATAAAGATATGTCAAAGGGATAGTGGAGCCAAATGAAAGATCTGTGAATGGCTGACATTGGAAAATAAGAGCCACAAAATAAATGAAACAGCATTGGGTTATAATCCTAAATATAAAATAAATAATTGTGAATCCATATTCATATAAATAAATCATTAAATGAATAAATAAATGGAGAAGTCTAGACAAATTTCCCTTGTAGAAGAATTCTAGATAGTTTGTGTAGATACTCCCAAGGAAGTGGAACGGAACTCCTGGTCCTTAAATATGGATTGTGCATAGTGGTTTCCTTCTAAAGAGTATAAAAAGAAGTTGACAAAAGTAACTTTTTTATAGTAGAAATCCCCGAGGTATCAGTTTTCTACAGATGCTGCAACAAATATCACCAACATACTTCTGTAAAACCGTAAAATAACTATCTTACAATTTTGGGGTTAAATATCTATCTATCAACTATCTAACATTGGGCTAAAATCAAAGTGTTGGAAGGACATGGACAGGGCTTTATGCACTTTTGGAAGCTTCTGGAAGCCATCCACACTCCTTGGCTGGTGGCCCCTCCTCCACCTTCCAAGCTATCAGCAACAGCCCAGTTCTCACATCCCACCACCTGAGAACTGCGCCCTTGTCTTACACACTTTCCTCTGCCTTTGATCATCTTGGGCCCACACTGGTAATTTAAGGGTAACCTTCCTCCCGAACATGAGTCATTTAGAAAATTTAATTCCATCTGCAATCTTAAATTTCCTCTGTCATGTAACCTGACATACCCACAGGTTCCAGGGAGGTTGCCAATATTTGAGAGGGTGGAACTGAAGATTCTCTCCACCACTTCTAGCAGACGCTACCTCACACAGGTGATGGAGCTCACAGTGAGTGGAAAGTCACGTCGATGTGTCATGCACACTTGAAGTGGAATGAGAGTGTGTCTTTACCCCTGTGGTTTTCCTCCTCAAACTCATAACTCCAGTCTATTCATGAGGAAAATACA